AAGAAAGTTCCGGTGTCAGATGACACACATGTGGGTGGGGGAGAGAAGAGAGTTCTGGTGTCAGATGACACACATGTGGGTGGGGGAGAGAAGAGAATTTCGGTGTCAGATGACACACATGTGGGCGGGGGAGAGAAGAGAATTTCGGTGTCAGATGACACACATATGGGAGGAGGAATAGAAGACAACTCCAGTGTCACGATAACACACTTATGGGAGGAGCGAGAAGATCTTTTAGGTGTTAGATAACACACATATGGGAGAGGGAATAGAAGACAGTTCCGTTGTCAAGATAACATACACATGGGAGGGGGAAGAGAAAAGGTTTTGGTGTTATATAACATGGGACACTGTTCCAGCTTCAGTAATATTTGCTACACTGAAAAAGACTTAATTACAGCTTGTTCAGCTTGACCTGAGCTACTCTACATATGCATGACCCAGGAGGCCAAATAGCACAAACGGCAGGTCGAGTTAACTTCATTAAATAGGGGAGCTTTTTCCTTTCTTGTTCTATGCGGCCCACGGTTGTACTGGAAACACAAGTTGCTGCTGCTGCTCGCTGCCTAAAAGCCAGCATCGGAAACATTAAACCATCTGTAGCTTCTTTTTTAAAGAAAGTTAGGACATCGCTGACGATTTCTCGACACTGAGATGTCAACCGCGATCATGTCTCGGCTGTTCGGACATGTTGACAATCAACTGACCCCTTCACAATAATAGACCCAACCAGTTGTGACACAGTCACGCAATGCATTAGTATTCATTTGATCAGGTCACACTGAACAAGCTGTACAATCCCTTAATAATTCTAACATATCAACATATTCTTTAATGAAAGAAATAAGTCTGCCTTTTTGTCACCAAGACCAGATACATCGGTCTATCTCTGGATACCCGTTTCATCTTACAAGGTCAATATTAATCAACAAAGCAAATTGGCAAAATCAATTAGTTCTTTCTACCGAAACAATATTTGCCCACACAACCTTCAGGGCTCATGATTCTCATGTAACTCAGCAGTATTTAATCTTTTTGTAACATATTGTAACAGTACCACCAGTCTTATTTGGTGAAGAACAATAGTGAGTTTTATGCTCTCAATAAACCTTCATATGTTGGACAGAACACTCAAGAAGGAATGCTAAAAATCATGCAAACAAACCTATACAGATTATTGCATAGTTAAGATGAGAAAGATGAGAAATTATGCAAGATGCTGATCCATGGTCCTCAATACTTACCACCCAGACATCAATATATATACTGCTGAAACATCTACCACTGACACACTGTCATGTAGATACATCATCTACCACTGACACACTGTCATGAGGGGAAATCATCTACCACTGATATATTCTACCACTGACACACTGTCATGTAGATAAATCTACCACTGACACACTGTCATGTAGATAAATCATCTACCACTGACACATTGTCATGTGGATAAATCATCTCCCACTGACACACTGTCATGTAGATACATCATCTACCACTGACACACTGTCATGTAGATAAATCATCTACCACTGACACACTGTCATGTAGATAAATCATCTACCACTGACACATTGTCATGTGGATAAATCATCTACCACTGACACACTGTCATGTAGATACATCATCTACCACTGACACACTGTCATGTAGATAAATCATCTACCACTGACACACTGTCATGTGGATACATCATCTACCACTGACACACTGTCATGTAGATACATCATCTACCACTGACACACTGTCATGTAGATAAATCATCTACCACTGACACACTGTCATGTAGATAAATCATCTACCGCTGACATGTCTGCTGAGATCAATATACACATTGTGTCAACTGTCAGCTTAGACATTGTACAAATATACACATTGTGTCAACTGTCAGCTTAGACATTGTATCAATATACACATTGTGTCAACTGTCAGCTTAGACATTGTACCAATATACACATTGTGTCAACTGTCAGCTTAGACATTGTATCAATATACACATTGTGTCAACTGTCAGCTTAGACATTGTATCAATATACACATTGTGTCAACTGTCAGCTTAGACATTGTACCAATATACACATTGTGTCAATTGTCAGCTTAGACATTGTATCAATATACACATTGTGTCAACTGTCAGCTTAGACATTGTATCAATATACACATTGTGTCAACTGTCAGCTTAGACATTGTACCAATATACACATTGTGTCAACTGTCAGCTTAGACATTGTACCAATATACACATTGTGTCAACTGTCAGCTTAGACATTGTATCAATATACACATTGTGTCAACTGTCAGCTTAGATATTGTATCAATATACACATCTGTCAGCTGTCTGTGAAGACTTTGTGTCAGCAGAGGCACTACACCAGTGTGGGCAATGTTTTAGTGCAGCAATTGTGTCTGCATAAGCATTGGGTAAACATTTGATGTCTTCTAGGTTGACTTCAGCTGGTTATATTATATATTCTTGGTGTAAAATAAACAGCATGATACTAGCACAGTGAAACACAGAATCTGTTAAAATGTTATTATACCCAAAGTCAGTCTAAAAAAGTAAAAACTGTTAATTAAAATTCACCATACAATTTAATTGTTTCTAAAAACTCACTTGGTACATATTTACAGCCAAAGAGAGCATGTGGTTATGATTCATCAACAACAGACATTCAGAACAGGGATGTTTTACATATAGGATGGTGTTCCTGATGGTCAATCACTTCAATCAAAAACTGGTTTCATTTGATATTTTGATCTCATCTGACTATATTTTTGTGTCAGTTTTATACATGCCTAAATTTGAGCAGGAGAAGATACATTGAAAAGAACCTAACAATAAAAAGAAGTGTGCTATATAACCATATGTAGAGAACCTTTCCGATACTCCTGATGTAGGGTCTCATTATCCCTTTAAAGACCACAGTTTTCCTTCTCTTTCACCAGTCAATAGTTCTTGGTGACAGAATTTACAACGTGACACCTCTGCCGGAAACAAGTATGTTCCTTGTGGTTTCAGTGATGTTACTGTAAGAAACATCGGTACTTGGGAAGCAAAGTATATCTAGGTCACTGGCCAGTGGTTGAGCAAACACATGATTCACCTGAATCTTATTAACTTAACAATGACTGAATCATAAAATGTAACATTGTAACAATACACAGAAATACAATTGATCCTTTACATTAATAACTGCACATTAAGCCCAAACAGAACAGTAGACAACAGCACAAGCTTTGGTATGAACATGCCTGCTGAAAGCCTACCACTGGTGCTGTCCTTCAAGAACAAAGACAATTAACTTTCTTCAAACAGCAAAATATGTAGTCAACATCAGAATCAGATTTCTCAATATAAATTTCCAGCTGCAGTGTTTTCCTACTTTATTCCGTTGGTTCATCATTGTTGTGGGGCTCTGTAAGTAGTCTGTTGTACATGATTACAATTGTTCATGGACGGCAAATGGATTTGTTCATAAAGAAATTTATATGTACACATCAAAATTTAGCTGGTGATGGTATATTGAACTAAATTTCACATCAGGGGATAGCAGAAATATTTCACCATAAACGTTCAGTTACCTATGGCATATAACTATCTATAGTACACATAAAGTCAGAACTTTTCCTTGATGCTACACCTTATCGGCAGTGAAGATCATGTATTTTGTTTAAGACAAATGCAGTCAATGTGCCAGAGAAATAGCAAAACTACTTGTGTAAACCCTTGTAAATCAATATAATGTATGCATTTGTAATCCATTACCTTGAGACATAGATTGTTTTGTTGGTAACATCAGTGACAATGTAATTCTGGTCCTAGTTTTAGTACAAGGACTGTAAACATGGGGGCAGGTGGGGGTGAGTTGTACAGAGTACTATCGGATCTACTCTACAGCATGGCACATTATGAAGATCTGTGAGGTATGTAGGCTTACAAAACATGAGTAAAAATCTGCATAGATGCAAAAATCACATTCACTTGTTCCTTCATTATCTTTTGTAAGCCTGAAACATGTAATTGTGCATGTAGTATACAGTGGTATATAAAAATATGAGTTTTAACAACTATCTATATACAACATAAAAAAGTTACTAATGTACATGATGACTGACAAGCTACTGTACAGACACGAGACTGACAAGTGTTCAATACACAAACATGACATTATCTACTACTTTCCTGACAGTATCAGAAGGTACCGGCAACTATCAACAGAAAGTACCACCAACTATTAACAGAAGGTACCACCAACTATCAACAGAAGGTACTGCCAACTATCAACAGAAGGTACCACCAACTATCAACAGAAGGTACCACCAACTATCAACAGAAGGTACCACCAACTATCAACAGAAGGTACCACCAACTATCAACAGAAGGTACCACCAACTATCAACAGAAGGTACCACCAACTATCAACAGAAGGTACCACCAACTATCAACAGAAGGTACCACCAACTATCAACAGAAGGTACCACCAACTATCAACAGAAGGTACCACCAACTATCAACAGAAGGTACCACCAACTATCAACAGAAGGTATCAACTATCACAGAAGGTACCACCAACTATCAACAGAAGGTACCACCAACTATCAACAGAAGGTACCTCCAGCTATCAACAGAAGGTACACCACCAACTATCAACAGAAGGTACCACCAACTATCAACAGAAGGTACCACCAACTATCAACAGAAGGTACCACCAACTATCAACAGAAGGTACCACCAACTATCAACAGAAGGTACCACCAACTATCAACAGAAGGTACCACCAACTATCAACAGAAGGTACTGCCAACTATCAACAGAAGGTACCACCAACTATCAACAGAAGGTACCGCCATCATAATACCAGGAGGAGGAACCTTTATAATGTCATGAAGGTACCATCATCAGTTGATTAAACTTTCACATATTAAAAGCCACAATACAACAGGTTACAACAAGAACTGTTGTTCACAAAATGCACAGTTTACAAAAAATGGAACAGTTTTAATAATGTAAAATACTTTATTGAAAAGAAGCTGTGATGTCTTTGGGTACATCCACTGAATAAAACCTGATTAAAAATGTTGTTTGTGGTGTTGAAATATGACTAAACTTAATAAAAATTGTCAAAGATGTCACCTTCGTGTATTGAACATTTGATGGCATACAAAATATTCATATGCAAATATTTAGATACAAACAGGGACATATTATTTCCATAATAGCGGCAACCTGTACGGTGGTTTTAGCATGTGCAGGTGAGAGATGAACTTATCCCAAGATTAAAACAATTTCATATTAAGTATTTGTAGTTATGTACTACTGTAAACATAAAATAAAAATAGTTTGGATATCATATAAAATTAGTATTGTCTTGATTTTATGCATACAGCCAGTTTACAGAGCTTTTAAATGTGAACAGATATATCTTGACCCTCAACACATAAACTTTAGTCCAGAGAACCTGCCATGCTAAAACCACCTGAATATTTATGACTTCATAAGATGTGTGTCCAATTCACTAGGTGGGAGTCTTCACCAAATCATTATCTTGGCAATCATCACTGGTTTACACGCAAAAGATCAGATGCAGAGTCACCGATGTTTTCTTTATAGCCGTGTAAGCCGTTTCTTCTCCGAAGGATTTCACACATATCAGCACCAAGGTCACATTTCACTATGTCAGCCAGGGACATGGATGGTTTTGATTTACGTCTGGAGTTGACGGAAAATACATCTAAAACACCTGCTGAGTTCAATCTGAGCAAGTTATCACACTGGAAATAATTTGTTTAGGGTATTAAGATGTTGGTTAAGTAAAATCCATTGGTCCATATGTCATCAGTTAAAATGGCTGAAGCATCCATTTTTGATCACATCAAATTATGCCTCTTTCTAAGATTGTGCCACAAGCTCCTAGCCACTTTACACATCAATTTGTTAATTCATGAATAGCATGGTGTTGTAAACCTTCCTTCACAACAGTGAAATGTGTGCAACAAAACATTCTTATCACATCAGGTGACAGGCACAACCAATCATATTCCTGGGATGTCACTGCATGATAGAGTTCCAGCCCCTCGGACTCTGATCGCTACTACTAGCTAGAGTAGCTCAACTAGCAGCTGACAAGGTTCTGTACATAACAACTCCATGGCATTGCCCAACAGCGCAACACTCCTACCATGGCAACAACATAACAACTGGCAGTATGTAGACAACTTGTGGATGTAGTTCTGCGCTAATCATGTAATCAGATTTCAACGCCTTGTATCAACAGCAGCTGCACAACACCAAGGCTATTAACAGCTAGTCTCAGACACATCACAGTGACTCTTAGGTTCTCTGTCACTAACATCTAGACACAGTCTCAGTCATTCAGACACTTCAAGTGTTTTCTGCAGACAACAGTCATATGCAGTATTGAGCCTAGCATTACAAATCCAGTAAGATGAAGGTCGGACAGTCTCATCTCCGTCCTGCCTCTGAGCATTGAGTAAGTGTCAGGGTCCCAGCACGTAACATCACAGAGGTGAGTTGTCCCAGAGTTGTCTGCCCTATCTCTTATACTGTGCACCAATGCTACACAGTTGTTTCTGAGTTCTGATCAGATGCCAAAACAAATGGTTTGGATTCAGGGTGACCGCCAATATCATTGTAGTAGTTGTGTCCATTTGACATGACTGACTTAGGCATAATGACAGGTGCGTGCACACCATTATGACGTGGCTTTGTCCACGGTTCATCTTCCGACCTATCAAAGTATTCAGGATTGGCAACAGCCCTAGGTGATGACACAGGCAACATTCGGTCGGTGTCGGTGGGCTCCTCATCAAACACCTTCTCATTCTGATAGTATCCTGAAACAAAAGGGAATCATGTAGCTTCGTAACATTCAGATGTTTTTAATCATTTTCACAACAGACAAATAAATAAATCAATTATATATAACACTGCCACAAATGACTTTGAAAGGACAGATTCCTTTCCTTGACATTCAATTGGTCCACTCAGCACCCAATGTCTAGTATCTACTGTCTGTTGGTCCTCCCACTGTCAGCACCCAATGTCTAGTTTCTACTGTTTGTTGGTCCTCCCACTGTCAGCACCCAATGTCTAGTTTCTACTGTCTGTTGGTCCTCTCACTGTCAGCACCAGATGTCTAGTTTCTACTGTCTGTTGGCCCTCTCACTGTCAGCACCCAATGTCTAGTTTCTACTGTCTGTTGGCCCTCTCACTGTCAGCACCCAATGTCTAGTTTCTACTGTCTGTTGGCCCTCTCACTGTCAGCACCCAATGTCTAGTTTCTACTGTCTGTTGGCCCTCTCACTGTCAGCACCCAATGTCTAGTTTCTACTGTTTGTTGGTCCTCCCACTGTCAGCACCCAATGTCTAGTTTCTACTGTCTGTTGGTCCTCCCACTGTCAGCACCCAATGTCTAGTTTCTACTGTCTGTTGGTCCTCCCACTGTCAGCACCCAATGTCTAGTTTCTCCTCCCACTGTTTGTTGGTCCTCCCTCACTGTCAGCACCCAATGTCTAGTATCTACTGTCTGTTGGCCCTCCCACTCTCAGCACCCAATGTCTAGTTTCTACTGTCTGTTGGCCCTCTCACTGTCAGCACCCAATGTCTAGTTTCTACTGTCTGTTGGCTCTCTCACTGTCAGCACCCAATGTCTAGTTTCTACTGTTTGTTGGTCCTCCCACTGACAGCACCAAATGTCTAGTTTCTACTGTCTGTAGGCCTTCTCACTGTCAGCATCTAATGTCTAGTTTCTACTGTCTGTTGGCCCTCTCACTGTCAGCACCCAATGTTGGTATCTCTGTCACTGGCCCTCTCAGCACCCAATGTCTAGTATCTACTGTCTGTTGGCCCTCTCACTGTCAGCACCCAATGTCTAGTTTCTACTGTCTGTTGGCCCTCTCACTCTCAGCATCCAATGTCTAGCTTCTACTGTCTGTTGGTCCCTCTCACTCAGCATCCAATGTCTAGCTTCTACTGTCTGTTGGTCCTCTCACTCTCAGCATCCAATGTCTAGCTTCTACTGTCTGTTGGCCCTCTCACTCTCAGCATCCAATGTCTAGCTTCTACTGTCTGTTGGTCCTCTCCCAGTCAGCACCCAATGTCTAATTTCTACTGTCTGTTGGCCTTCTCACTGTCAGCACCCAATGTCTAGTATCTACTGTCTGTTGGCCCTCTCACTGTCAGCACCCAATGTCTAGTATCTACTGTCGGTTGGCCCTCTCACTGTCAGCACCCAATGTCTACTATCTACTGTCTGTTGGTCCTCTCACTGTCAGCACCCAATGTCTACCAAATGTCTGTTGGTCCTTCACTGTCAGCACCAAATGTCTGTCTGTTGGCCCTCCCACTGTCAGCACCCAATGTCTAGTTTCTACTGTCTGTTGGTCCTCCCACTGTCAGCACCCAATGTCTAGTATCTACTGTCTATTGGTCCTCCCACTGTCAGCACCCAATGTCTAGTTTCTACTGTCTGTTGGCCCTCTCACTGTCAGCACTCAATGTCTAGTGTCTACTGTCTGTTGGCCCTCTCACTGTCAGCACCCAATGTCTAGTTTCTACTGTCTGTTGGCTCTCTCACTGTCAGCACCCAATGTCTAGTTTCTACTGTTTGTTGGTCCTCCCACTGACAGCACCAAATGTCTAGTTTCTACTGTCTGTAGGCCTTCTCACTGTCAGCATCTAATGTCTAGTTTCTACTGTCTCTTGGCCCTCTCACTGTCAGCACTCAATGTCTAGTTTCTACTGTCTGTTGGCCCTCTCACTGTCAGCACCCAATGTCTAGTTTCTACTGTCTGTTGGCTCTCTCACTGTCAGCACCCAATGTCTAGTTTCTACTGTTTGTTGGTCCTCCCACTGACAGCACCAAATGTCTAGTTTCTACTGTCTGTAGGCCTTCTCACTGTCAGCATCTAATGTCTAGTTTCTACTGTCTCTTGGCCCTCCCACTGTCAGCACCCAATGTCTAGTTTCTACTGTCGTTTGGCCCTCTCACTGTCAGCACCCAATGTCTAGTATCTACTGTCTATTGGTCCTCTCACTGTCAGCACCCAATGTCTAGTATCTACTGTCTGTTGGTCCTCCCACTGTCAGCACCCAATGTCTACTCTCTACTGTCTGTTGGTCCTTCGACTGTCAGCACCCAATGTCTACTCTCTACTGTATGTTGGTCCTCCAACTGTCAGCACCCAATGTCTACTCTCTACTGTCTGTTGGTCCTCCCACTGTTAGCACCCAATGTCTAGTTCCTACTGTCTGTTGGCCCTCTCACTGTCAGCACCCACTGTCTACTCTCTACTGTCTGTTGGTCCTCTCACTGTCAGCACCCAATGTCAAGTATCTACTGTCTGTTGGCCCTCTCACTGTCAGCACCCAATGTCAAGTATCTACTGTCTGTTGGTCCTCTCACTGTCAGCACCCAATGTCTAGTATCTACTGTCTGTTGGTCCTCTCACTGTCAGCACCCAATGTCAAGTATCTACTGTCTGTTGGTCCTCTCACTGTCAGCACCCAATGTCTAGTATCTACTGTCTGTTGGCCCTCTCACTGTCAGCACCAAGTGTCTAGTATCTACTGTCTGTTGGTCCTCCCACTGTCAGCACCCGCTGTCTACTCCCTACTGTCTGTTGGTCCTCCCACTGTCAGCACCCAATGTCTACTCTCTACTGTCCGTTGTCCCTCCCACTGTCAGCACCCAATGTCTAGTATCTTCTGTCTGTTGGCCCTCTCACTGTCAGCACCAATGTCTAGTATCTACTGTATGTTGGCCTCTCTGTCAGCACCCAATGTCAAGTATCTACTGTCTGTTGGTCCTCTCACTGTCAGCAGCTAGTATCTACTGTCTGTTGGTCCTCCCACTGTCAGCACCCAATGTCTAGTATCTCTACTGTCTGTTGTCCCTCCCACTGTCAGCACCCAATGTCTAGTTTCTACTGTCTGTTGGCCCTCTCACTGTCAGCACTCAATGTCTAGTGTCTACTGTCTGTTGGCCCTCTCACTGTCAGCACCCAATGTCTAGTTTCTACTGTCGGTTGGCCCTCTCACTGTCAGCACCCAATGTCTACTATCTACTGTCTGTTGGTCCTCTCACTGTCAGCACCAAATGTCTAGTTTCTACTGTCTGTTGGCCCTCCCACTGTCAGCACCCAATGTCTAGTTTCTACTGTCTGTTGGTCCTCCCACTGTCAGCACCCAATGTCTAGTATCTACTGTCTATTGGTCCTCCCACTGTCAGCACCCAATGTCTAGTTTCTACTGTCTGTTGGCCCTCTCACTGTCAGCACTCAATGTCTAGTGTCTACTGTCTGTTGGCCCTCTCACTGTCAGCACCCAATGTCTAGTTTCTACTGTCTGTTGGCTCTCTCACTGTCAGCACCCAATGTCTAGTTTCTACTGTTTGTTGGTCCTCCCACTGACAGCACCAAATGTCTAGTTTCTACTGTCTGTAGGCCTTCTCACTGTCAGCATCTAATGTCTAGTTTCTACTGTCTCTTGGCCCTCCCACTGTCAGCACCCAATGTCTAGTTTCTACTGTCGTTTGGCCCTCTCACTGTCAGCACCCAATGTCTAGTATCTACTGTCTATTGGTCCTCTCACTGTCAGCACCCAATGTCTAGTATCTACTGTCTGTTGGTCCTCCCACTGTCAGCACCCAATGTCTACTCTCTACTGTCTGTTGGTCCTTCACTGTCAGCACCCAATGTCTACTCTCTACTGTATGTTGGTCCTCCAACTGTCAGCACCCAATGTCTACTCTCTACTGTCTGTTGGTCCTCCCACTGTTAGCACCCAATGTCTAGTTCCTACTGTCTGTTGGCCCTCTCACTGTCAGCACCCACTGTCTACTCTCTACTGTCTGTTGGTCCTCTCACTGTCAGCACCCAATGTCTAGTATCTACTGTCTGTTGGCCCTCTCACTGTCAGCACCCAATGTCAAGTATCTACTGTCTGTTGGTCCTCTCACTGTCACTGTCAATGTCTAGTATCTACTGTCTGTTGGTCCTCTCACTGTCAGCACCCAATGTCAAGTATCTACTGTCTGTTGGTCCTCTCACTGTCAGTACCCAATGTCTAGTATCTACTGTCTGTTGGCCCTCTCACTGTCAGCACCAAGTGTCTAGTATCTACTGTCTGTTGGTCCTCCCACTGTCAGCACCCGCTGTCTACTCCCTACTGTCTGTTGGTCCTCCCACTGTCAGCACCCAATGTCTACTCTCTACTGTCCGTTGTCCCTCCCACTGTCAGCACCCAATGTCTAGTATCTTCTGTCTGTTGGCCCTCTCACTGTCAGCACCAAGTGTCTAGTATCTACTGTATGTTGTTCCTCCCACTGTCAGCACCCAATGTCTAGTATCTACTGTCTGTTGGTCCTCTCACTGTCAGCACCAGATGTCTAGTATCTACTGTCTGTTGGTCCTCCCACTGTCAGCACCCAATGTCTACTCTCTACTGTCTGTTGGTCCCTCCCACTGTCAGCACCCAATGTCTAGTATCTTCTGTCTGTTGGCCCTCTCACTGTCAGCACCAAGTGTCTAGTATCTACTGTCTGTTGGTCATGTCAATGTCTAGTATCTACTGTCTGTTGGCCCTCCCACTGTCAGCACCCAATGTCAAGTATCTACTGTCTGTTGGTCCTCTCACTGTCAGCACCAGATGTCTAGTATCTACTGTCTGTTGGTCCTCCCACTGTCAGCACCCAATGTCAAGTATCTACTGTCTGTTGGTCCTCTCACTGTCAGCACCCAATGTCTAGTATCTACTGTCTGTTGGTCCTCTCACTGTCAGCACCCAATGTCTAGTATCTACTGTCTGTTGGCCCTCTCACTGTCAGCACCCAATGTCTAGTATCTACTGTCTGTTGGTCCTCTCACTGTCAGCACCCAGATGTCTACTGTCCTACTGTCTGTTGGCCCTCTCACTGTCAGCACCCAATGTCTAGTATCTACTGTCTGTTGGTCCTCTCACTGTCAGCACCCAATGTCTAGTATCTACTGTCTGTTGGCCCTCTCACTGTCAGCACCCAATGTCTAGTATCTACTGTCTGTTGGCCCTCTCACTGTCAGCACCCAATGTCTAGTTTCTACTGTCTGTTGGTCCTCCCACTGTCAGCACCCAATGTCTAGTTTCTACTGTCTGTTGGTCCTCCCACTGTCAGCACCCAATGTCTAGTTTCTACTGTCTGTTGGTCCTCTCACTGTCAGCACCCAATGTCTAGTTTCTACTGTCTGTTGGTCCTCTCACTGTCAGCACCCACTAATGTCTACTTTCTACTGTCTGTTGGCTGTCTAGTCTGTCTGTTGGACCTCCCACTGTCAGCACCCAATCGTCTAGTTTCTACTGTCTGTTGGTCCTCTCACTGTCAGCACCCAATGTCTAGTTTCTACTGTCGGTTGTCAGCTTTCTACCTCCCACTGTCAGCACTGTCAGCACCCACTGTTTACTTTCTACTGTCTGTTGGTCCTCCCACTGTCAGCACCCAATGTCTAGTTTCTACTGTCTGTTGGTCCTCCCACTGTCAGCACCCAATGTCTAGTATCTTCTGTCTGTTGGTCCTCTCACTGTCAGCACCCAATGTCTAGTTTCTACTGTCTGTTGGTCCTCCCACTATCAGCACCCAATGTCTGGTTTCTACTGTCTGTTGGTCCTCTCGCTGTCAGTATGCAATGTCTAGTTTCTACTGTCAACGTTAGTCAATACTATGTCAGCACCCAATGTCTAGTGTTTACTGTCTGTCAGTTAGTCAACACTCTGTCAGTCTTACCTTTGTCACTCAGGTCCATGTAAGCAGCAGGGTTGGCTGACTTGGGCTGCAGGTAGTCATCCTCATCCAGTGGGAGCTTCAGAGGGACTTCTTGCTTCTTGGGCATTGAGATGTGGCTGTCAGGGAAGCCACTGTATGCTGGGTGTCCTGCCATGTTGGGTGGGATGCCATCTATTTCATCTGCAATCACACATTTGTATTATCTTTGTACATGATCGTTGTCTTTAAAACAGAAAATGAATTTGCACTTGCAAAAGTACTTGCAAAACACAGAAGCAACCTGCTGATTGTCACTTCTATCAGGCCTGGAAATCATATTAAATATGTATTACCACACATTGCAAGTGAAATACCACTGACTGCATGTATACTACAAACACATACCACATTGAATTACCTTGTCAATGGCAAACATAAGGTATGCAATCTGAACTCACCATCAACGGTGGTCTACTAAAATCTCAATGCTCCTTGAGCCAAAGGATGATATACAACAGTGAGTTGTATGTCTTTCTTTCTAATAAACATACCACAAATTGCTGACAAGTGTTGCTTTTATTTAGTCACACTCTACTGTGTATTCCCTTACCATGGACATAATTCATTTCTTAATACATGACCTTGAGAGTTATTTTGATGTACTTTACGAGTTGTTAATATTGATTAATGACGGATTCTGTGTGACTTTCAACTAATGGAGATAGATACACAAGCCACAAACAAGTACAAGTGATATACATACATAGATTTATGTACCAAAGTTACTTATTTGGTTCTGTTGCTTATAGACCCAGCCAAACACTCCATTTAACAGTGAATTATTGTCACTTGATTGACAAAGCTTACGGACACACAAAGAATGATTGACATTACATTTTGGAATAACCATTTCTATCTCATTTGTAAAAGAAGACACATGGGATGCTAAAGAATTATTTTTGAGCAAAAGGTTCTGATATGTTCATTGACAGAATGTATATATATACAGTTCAGTATCACCAACATCCATGACATTACATACAAATCCAAAACTACCGGTATATCAATAAGAGCAAATATTTTACATGTCCAGCCCAATTTCTACCCATAACGAACAGTGACATTTGATAACATTGGCAGGGAAATCTGTTCTGCTGCATTCTTAATAATCTTATCCAATTATTTTTACATTTAATATTATATGTAGTGTGAAGAGGATATCTTCCACATTCCCCACTGGCCGAACATATGCCCATATGATGAACAAATTCACAAAATTTTCTATGAACAGTTCAATGCCGTGTCTTTTTTTTCTTTTTTTTTTTCACTAATTACTCACGTATTAAATGTGAAATATTAGCAGAACATAACTCCAGATTCAAAGACAGGTGAACAGTTAGTATTTTGTCAAGTCACCATGGGCAGCAATGCAGGCTTCTATGCGGCGGGGCATACTACTGATCAAAGAAGTTAGAAAGTCGAGGTCCATGCTGTCCCAATATCGGACCACCTCTTCTTTCATTTCAGCAACATTTGTCAGATTTTTCTTATTGACACTTTCCTTCATAAGTCCCCAAACATTTCCTATTGGATTTAGGTCAGGGCTATAGCTTGGCCAATCTAATAATGTCATATTTTGGGTCCGAAACCAGGCCTGTGAATGCTTTGAACAATGTTTTGGGTCGTTGTCCTGCTGGAAAATCAAAATATTTCCATAGAACACGTGAGCAGATGGAAGTAAATGTCCCTCGAGAATATCTGTGTACCACTCACTGTTCATATTCCATTCAAATACACAGAGGGGCGGTGCTCTTAACACAGATATGCCACCCCAAACGTTAAATTTCGGACTGTACTTTGGGCGCTGATACAAAGGTTTTTCAGTTTGTTTGGTCCAGAATTTCAGTGTATTAGGAAACAGCCAAACAGAACTTTCATCTGAGAAAATCATATTGTCCCAGTTAAAATTTCTATGCTGTAAGCACCAGTTCAACCTTCGCTCCTTTTGTTCAGGTTTCATGATCGGTGATGGAATTCCTCGACTTTTCTGCCAACCCATTGCATGCAGCTCAGTTCTAACTGTCTCCTTACAGACAGCCACAGTTCCTCTATCAATCATATCCAGCCTTAAGTTTTCTAAACTCCTTCCTTTGTTTTTAGAAACAAGAATACCAAGCCGCCTCCTGTCACCGACAGTCAATTTTCTGGACCTACCTGCGCCTCCCTGGTGCTCAATGCCATATCCATTTGCAATATTTTTCAAAACACGATAAACAGTGGACAAAGGGATGCCCGGTTCTACTTGAAATCACTTTATCTTATCTGATGTCCTTGTTATAATACTCTAAAATCAACTTCCTCTTCTCTAAATCATCCATACTGAGGATCACTGAAAATGTCGTCTGCTAGCAAGTAAACAAAAGGGGATAACTCTTCACAAACTAATGAAAAAGGATTAACGGAGTTGTCTCTCTTGAATGAAACCAAGCACTTGGTCAAGGTTGTTTATACTAGAAATCCAATTAAACATATTCCTAAAATTCTCAATAATTTCTGGTCATACTATATATTACATGCACATCTTTAATGAAAATGACACTTTACAAAATGTTCACTGTGATTTCACATGGCGGTAACTCAAAACCCTTGCTAAGCATCGTCCCACCCTGAAGATGATATGCATCGATTTTGTCTACATTCTCAATAAGGTTTTAATGAAGACTAAACAGACTCTTTTTTCAGGTTTTTTATTTTTACCTTGACATGAATGATCAATGTGTTAAAAGTGTTTCCATGTTCCATAAAGGAGATGTACAATATCCCTGAGATGTACATTGACATGTGAACCCTCATGGCCAGGAGAAAGTGATCAAATGTAACGTGAGGTATATTTGGGAATATTTTTTCGCAGTTAAGTACAGATTCTAGTCTTTTAGGTTGAGTCCCACCTGGGATTTGAACCCACAGTCTCAGAGTCAGGCACCTAATCACAAGCACATAAAGTTCTCACTCAATCAGCCACCGCAGGTTCCACAAAAGTGAAAGTCAGACAACTGGTAGTCTATCACATACTTTATGCACCCTTCTGAGGAGTGTAAGAGGCAAGGCTTCCATGGCCAAAAGCTATCAACATAAAATGCCTTTCACAAAGTTGTCCAATGTAACATATGTTTCAAAAACAAATTAGATGATCTTCTGACAAATCTTTAAGCATCTCCATTTACATTAAATAACTGTTTGGTGCTTGATACAAGTTAGGGTTGATGATTAGGCTATAAGAATGCAGCTGACCTGATAACACCTGGACTGCAACAGAAAGACAATAGATGGGCTTGGGTACTGATTGGCTTGGACTGCACGGACTGGACTGAGTGGACTAGACTGATCCAAGGGCACAAGGAGGTGACTTCAGGCAGTGGTCAAGAGAGGATGTATTATGCCGGTGAGTAAATATATAGCTGAATTTACAGTGGTGATCACATTTTCACAATTAAACAATAAAGATGAAAACATCCTGGTTCAGTACACCAACCTCTGTCCTTAAAGAAGCGGACTGGATCGGAGCTGTAACGGGAATTAATACTGTTTTCTCTTCCTCTTGTTGGTGACAGCTGTTGTCTCATGTTTCGAGCTTCAGCTGCAGACTCAAGGTGAGCATAACGCTTCTCTCGCCACGGTCTTATTCCTCCATCTTTAGGCTTGTGATCAAAAGCTGCAGCACCCAGCAATAGCGGGATCTAAACAGAAGAAAACATTTCCATGGAAACATATCAAATAAAGACTAATTCAGTGAGCAACTTTCCTACAGACTGTAACACATCTTTCCTACTATTTTCTGATAGGGTCAATGTTTCTGTTACCCAAATAGGTTACCATGACATGATTTTTGTCAAGAAATGTCCCTGACCTTTGTGTCCTCTGGGATCTGTTGTTGCTGTGGTTGGAGGTAGTCATCTGCCTCCATCACTTCCTCGGGACCATCCACAGCCACACTCATGCTGCGGGCCAGGTCATGTTTGTCATAGGAGTGACTGGGTAGTCGCAGCAGCTTGTCTCCCTGGAAGAGAACACCATTAACATTACCACCATCTAATTGCATCCTGATGCACCCTTATTCCTCCTAAAACATATATGCAAAATATATTCAGACTCAATGACCAGTGTTTATTCTTCTCAAATCTTTATGCAAGAAACTGCTGCCATTTAATGTTAATATGTCTTCATAGACCAGCAACAGTAACTGGTGTAAACTTTTCATTGAAACTGAACCATGTGATGGAGACTGGTCAGATATATTTACTTTGACTCATGTTCTTGATAATATCACAAAAGGGTAAACTATCCAGTAAGGGTGAGTGTAAGCAAACATGATTTGTTTTAGGTTTGAAACGAAAGAAAAACGCAAATAATTGCAAATCAGAAAAAAGTAATCTCAAAAACCAATATTAATGGGCACAGCCAACTACATATTTGAAACACTACAAAGAGGTGATCATAATCACACAAGGACATTCATAAAACACAAAAACAAAACAACATGCAAAATGTGTAGGGCGAGAAAAAAAACCTGCTTTATTTCAAGAGCAGAATTACATACTTGTAAAAATACTTCATGAAACATATGAGTTTAATGCACTAATGTTATCAATGTCAACTTTCTGAAAATGTCATTGTAATACAATAGCTTAAGTAGCATCTACAATAAGTATATTCTGCTTTCACGAAAACAGCCATCATGTTCGAGTTAAACTACACCTGTTATTATTTAAGTGTCTTGTACAACCTAAGACAGAACCACTGTGTACAGGCATGGAGAATGGGTCTGTACAGGATCACGTGTACAGGCATGGTGAATAGATCTGTACAAGATCATGTGTACATAGCCATGGAGAATGGATCTGTATAGGATCATGTGTACATAGCCATGGAGAATGGATCTGTATTGGATCGTGTACATAGCCATGGAGAATGGATCTGTACAGGATCACGTGTACATAGCCATGGAGAATGGGTCTGTATAGGATCATGTGTACATAGCCATGGAGAATGGATCTGTATTGGATCGTGTACATAGCCATGGAGAATGGGTCTGTACAGGATCACGTGTACAGGCATGGTGAATAGATCTGTACAGGATCATGTGTACATAGCCATGGAGAATGGATCTGTATAGGATCATGTGTACATAGCCATGGAGAATGGATCTGTATTGGATCATGTACATAGCCATGGAGAATGGATCTGTACAAGATCACATGTACATAACATGGAGAATGGATCTGTACAGTATCATGTGTACATAGCCACGGAGAATGGATCTGTACAAGATCATGTGTACATAACCTTGGAGAATGGATCTGTACAGGATCACGTGTACAGGCATGGTGAATGGATCTGTACAGGATCACGTGTACATAGCCATGGGGAATGGGTCTGTACAAGATCATTTGTATACAGCCATGGAGAATGGGTCTGTACAGGATCATGTGTACTTAACCATGGAGAATGGGTCTGTACAAGATCATTTGTATACAGCCATGGAGAATGGGTCTGTACAGGATCATGTGTACATAACCATGGAGAATGGGTCTGTACAAGATCATTTGTATACAGCCATGGAGAATGGGTCTGTACAGGATCATGTGTACATAGCCACGGAGAATGGGTCTGTACAGGATCATGTGTACACAGCCATCGAGAATAGGTCTCTACAGGATCATGTGTACATAGCCATGGAGAATGGATCTGTACAAGATCATGTGTACATAGCCATGGAGAATGGATATGTATAGGATCACGTGTACAGGCATGGTGCATGGATCTGTACAAGATCGTGTGTACATAGCCATGGAGAATGGATCTGTATTGGATCATGTGTACATAGCCACGGAGAATGGATCTGTACAAGATCGCATGTACATAACATGGAGAATGGATCTGTACAAGATCATGTGTACATAGCCATGGAGAATGGGTCTGTACAAGATCAGGTGTACATAGCCATGGGGAATGGGTCTGTACAAGATCAGGTGTACATAGCCATGGAGAATGGATCTGTACAGGATCATATGTACATAGCCATGGAAAATGGGTCTGTATAGGATCATGTTTACATAGACCAATATACAATCATGTACCAGTAGGAGGGGCTACCCTGTGTAGATTGGTTGTCCTATATCTACAGGCAGTAGGAGGGACTACCTTGTGTAGACTCGTTGTCCTATATCTACAGGCAGTAGGAGGGGCTACCTTGTGTAGATTGGTTGTCCTATATCTACAGATGGTAGGAGGGACTACCTTGTGTAGATTGGTTGTCCTATATCTACAGGCAGTAGGAGGGACTACCTTGTGTAGATTGGTTGTGGTTGTCCTATATCTACAGATGGTAGGAGGGACTACCTTGTGTAGATTGGTTGTGGTTGTCCGATATCTACAGGCAGTAGGAGGAACTACCTTGTGTAGATTGGTTGTGGTTGTCCGATATCTACAGACAGTAGGAGGAACTACCTTGTGTAGATTGGTTGTGGTTGTCCGATATCTACAGACAGTAGGAGGGACTACCTTGTGTAGATTGGTTGTGGTTGTCCTATATCTACAGGCAGTAGGAGGGACGACCTTGTGTAGATTGGTTGTGGTTGTCCGATATCTACAGACAGTAGGAGGGACTACCTTGTGTAGATTGGTTGTGGTTGTCCTATATCTACAGACAGTAGGAGGAACTACCTTGTGTAGATTGGTTGTGGTTGTCCGATATCTACAGACAGTAGGAGGAACTACCTTGTGTAGATTGGTTGTCCTATATCTACAGGCAGTAGGAGGAACCACCTTGTGTAGATTGGTTGTCCTATATCTACAGGCAGTAGGAGGGACGACCTTGTGTAGATTGGTTGTGGTTGTCCTATATCTACAGACAGTAGGAGGGACTACCTTGTGTAGATTGGTTGTCCTATATCTACAGACAGTAGGAGGGACCACCTTGTGTAGATTAGTTGTCCTATATCTACAGACAGTAGGAGGGACGACCTTGTGTATATTGATTGTAGACTTGTGGCAGTCATTGTAAGGAGGTATTTACCCATTGCTTGCAGCCAAGCTGAATGTTTTCTAATGATAGGTGAAGTATAGTTAGGAAACCAAGAGTGATGTTTACATGGTATCATCTGAGCAGTCCAAAGCATGCTCGTTAGTGTTACTTCACAGTCATGCTCTACATTGGACACTGAAAACCAGGCAGATTATCCATTACGTCTTTTTTCAATTTAGTAAAAGTGTCTAATAGAATAAAAGGTAAAACCACTTATTTTGGATTGTTATTGTCAAAGTCATGCAATCTGAAACACGTTTTCTCCTTAGTTTTCTGAGAATTAATATTCAGCAAATACGATGGTGTGGGTGGAAAGGCCCAGCCCATGATGTACAGCTACCACACAGACAAGACGGACACCATGCAGAATGCAGTATCAGGAATACGTTTAGTCTACTGCGTGCACGATTCTACCTGATACAAAAGTGGCTGGTTACTAACGTCACAGCTATCAGGCCCTGCGATCATGTCAATCTCTGTGACCACATTTGTCTGGTCAGGGAATTTCTTCAACACATCGCCCTGTTGTCACAAACAGCCACACAGTCAGCGTCAAGGCATTCACGGTATTACCCGCTTTAAGCATACACGAAACTCTGTACAGAAATTGTTCACTAAAGTGTACCTTAGAAAAAAATGGACTGGATTGTTGTTTCTGGGAGAGAAGCTTTCAGAATTTCATTACCATGCAGATATTTTTCATGCGAAAATAAAAGCCTGTACAATAAAAAAGTAACTGATTCTGAAGGGAGGTGGCTTCAATAACTTCTGTCAGGAAAGTCTTGTCTTTTATGGTGATTTCTAGTGATTTGCAGTTTTCATGGGTAGAACATTGACAACCAACACTTGACAACAGGGGTACTTGGGTAGTGTTATTTTAACAAAGTACTGAATGCAAATTTTGCAAAAACATTTTAAAGAACTAATAATGAACAGAAGCACTTTACTACAAACAGAAAATAAACAGCATTTGGAATACTGTATTCAACCCAGTGATAGGAAGCAGAAGAAAAATATTATTTACATATTGGGTCCATAACAGAGGCTTATGAAGAAAACATTAACTGATCATAATACTACACAGAATACATTGTTATTTTAAACAAGTACAGCACTATATATTTTGTTCCATTAAGGCAAATCTATTAATTACAGAGCCACATCCATTCTAATTTCTTCAAAAGCAAACCTTTCAAATCAATAACTAACAAAACAAAGATATAACAAAACAGACATTAACACCCATTAAATGCAGTGGAATACAGTAACCATGTTCAGCTAGTTAGAATCCACAAAAATAGCAACATGTATAGGTTTCAGATTATTAATGGTGCATTTACTGGAAGTATCAGACAGAAAATCTGACGAGAACCTTAACTCTGTTCCTGGAAGCAACTGGATGTAGCCAATTACAGATGTAGACACATTTCATTAACTTACCTGTATAACAAGATAACGGCCAGGATCCCGTGCCATCTTCGCAAACTCTTCCGCCAATTCTTTGAAGGATGGACGACTGTCTGCATCTAACATCCAACCTTTAGAATAAAACATGTTTTAGAAATTAAGTCAGTTTAACTCATTAAGGCCGAGAGATGCATATATGGGGCAAATTAATCAGCTCCTCACAGCGAGTGATGCGTGTTTATGGGGCAGGTAATTAGCAGTTTCTCACAGCGAGAGCCACATACAGTCGTCAACAGCAAGCACCTCTTATTCAGCAAGAGACGCACATGTGTGTTGTACTTTTAAAATCACACTGTACCTTTTATTTCAACCAATTTAGCAGTACTGAGCAAATGTCAACTTTTCTTACGAGAGATCCCACCTTTAGTATCAATCAGAAGAAGTATTTAAAGTGTTTTGATAACAATTGCTGGGTACTCATCCTTGGGAATGGATACTAAAATACTTCGTATGCACCTTGATTGAATTAGATGTAATGGTTTAGAGGTTACTAAAAATTATATTTCCTTCAACTACCTAATATATAGGAAACAATATACGAAATTTCAAGGACATACAAAGAATCCAAACACAATAGAATAGTTTGAATTTACATTTTATGCATCATTACGTTGTCATGTTTCATATACTGAAACATAATGTATAAACACAAGTAATTATACATCCAAGCTCGAATAGATTAAACATAATTGAACTTACTAATTGAAGTTTACTGAATTGTAACTAGTTGTTTTCAATAATCTAAAGTTCGTAATGTTACCTAAGCGAATATAAAGTGATAAGTCGCGCCTTTGCATCGAATACATATATACATGTCAGTGTTATTACAACAATGAAATGTTTTACTACGTTTGTTACAAAAGACAGTAAGTTGGTAATTCAAAACATTGTCACACATGGACAGAAGTAATATCATAAGTTATTACATGTAAGCCATACAAGCGTATTTCAAGCATTTTTGTTCAAGCTGTTGAAAGTTTCATGTTGATTTGAATTGTCAGTTTTCTATGCAATTTACATGAGCATTGTGTAAAACGTTTGTATTTGATCTGTGTAATTATCAAATCCGGTGCAATTATCACGTGTATCAATTAACTCAGTCTCTATTGATCCATCGTCAATAAAAGCTGGATAGTATACTAGTACGGTTACGGTATCGATACACATGCGTATAATCATTCAAGCAGATTACAGTAATGAGATAATTGAACGCCTCTTTCGACCTTGAAATAACAGCCTCCGGTAGAATGCATATGTAGTTACGTCCTTGTTGAAAGGTTTGTCCCATGACAAGTGTAAAATAAACAGATGCGCTGTTATATCATTGGACATCTTGCTTTATGGAGTCACGCCCCTCTCTGTGATGTTTATACATGCATGCACATCTGTAATCTTATGAACCTCGTTTGCATTCAGTAAAGATATAGGCATGCCCACCTTCATAAATATTGGGGGTGGGGGTGTCAACTGTAAGTTTATACACTATAATAATTCAGTATAGTGTCACCTCGTGAATTCTGTAATGAGTGTACTCTAGTTTGGATAGTCATTCGTATCAAGGTGAAGATTATATGTACAGCAAACCATTATGTTTTATGTACTAGTTGTGTGCATAAAATGTATATGAAAATAAATACTACCTCTACTCAGTGGTTGGATTTCAATCGCTTTGTTTTACTTATCGAAAAACACTAGAATGAGGACAAATAAACTCGCCAAAGTGACTATCTACTCCTATTTGTCTTATGTGTATATTTCATACATCGTTACCAGTGTGTATGTTTACAATACACAAACTGTTACATGATAGCTTGAGTTGATAAAGCTGAAACCCAGCATATCGACTGGTCAAGGATATTGCCAATAACCAATCTCTATCCAAGCTGCTGAGTGACCAAACGTGCTCTTCAGAAATTTCGCCCACACCCCGGTCACCTGTCCTTTCCTCTGTGACAGGTATCTCATGATACCATTGGTCGCAGATCGTCTATTCGGGAAATTTGATGACGCCCTATCACGTGACTCTTTGTTTTATGTCTATGCAAGGAATATGTAGTATACATTTTGTATATGTATGTTTGTATGGTCACGTATGTTTTCTGCATTAAATCTGTATGAAATAAAGTGCAATGCTATGAATGTGCTTTGTGCTAGTCACAGACTAGCGTTATAGTACTTTCATTAAAATAATTCGTAAACACTAGGAATGTATCCACAAAACCTCTATTTTCGTCGAAGATTATAAAGTATGAAAGTAAATTCTTCTTTACAGTATGTCATTGTCATAGATGTTTTGTAATTTAAACCTCACACAATGATATAAGAGAAAGAATTTGTTAACGTGAGTCTCATCTGTTACATACAAAGAATACATGTGTATGCATATTGTGATAAAATATAAATGTACAAGCCGACAAATGGTCTACAAGAGAAACTTGCAATAAAATTACATAAAGCTTGCAATACACGACATGTATTCACACCTGATTTCTTTCAACATATATCTTTACGACACAATTAAACAATCAGGACTTGTTTGTACGACTAGACAGTTTCCTGTGATCCCCGAAACCTGCCAGGGAAATCAGGTGTGACTAGCACTAATTAGTCTCGGCACAGAGAGCGGGCAATCAGCGAGGGCTTCCAGGTGTTGAGTAGTGATGGGGCTCTCGTGCTTAATGAGTTAAAAGTGACTGAAGGAGTGAATTGGGGCATGGCAGTATTTCTGTCCATGTATTTCAGTCAGGTGATATAATTATGTGAGACAGCTTAAGCAGAACACACTGGACAAATAGAAAAAACTCAAATTCAAATTAACAGGCAGTAGCTTCTGCCAGCGAGAGGTCAGCATGTTGATCATCATACTGCTTGCTTATTTCCAGTCTGCCTGTAGCTGTGACAGAGCTGTATTGTAGTTATGACAGAGCTGTATTGTAGTTGTGACAGAGCTGTATTGTAGTTGTGACAGAGCTGTATTGTAGTTGTGACAGAGCTGTATTGTAGTTCTGACAGAGCAGTATTGTAGTTGTGACAGAGCTGTATTGTAGTTGTGACAGAGCTGTATTGTAGTTGTGACAGAGTTGTATTGTAGTTGTGACAGAGCAGTATTGTAGTTGTGACAGAGCTGTATTGTAGTTGTGACAGAACAGTATTGTAGTTGTGACAGAGATGTATTGTAGTGACAGAGCTGTATTGTAGACAGAGCTGTATTGTAGTTGTGACAGAGCTGTATTGTAGAGCTTGCTGACAGAGCTGTATTGTAGTTGTGACAGAGCTGTATTGTAGTTGTGACAGAGCTGTATTGTAGTTGTGACAGAGCTGTATTGTAGTTGTGACAGAGCTGTATTGTAGTTGTGACAGAGCTGTATTGTAGTTGTGACAGAGCTGTATTGTAGTTGTGACAGAGCAGTATTGTAGTTGTGACAGAGCAGTATTGTAGTTGTGACAGAGCTGTATTGTAGTTGTGACAGAGCTGTATTGTAGTTGTGACAGAGCTGTATTGTAGTTGTGACAGAGCTGTGTAGTTGTTGTAGACAGAGCTGTATTGTAGTTGTGACAGAGCTGTATTGTAGTTGTGACAGAGCAGTATTGTAGTTGTGACAGAGCAGTATTGTAGTTGTGACAGAGCTGCATTGTAGTTGTGACAGAGCAGTATTGTAGTTGTGACAGAGCTGTATTGTAGCTGTGACAGAGCAGTATGTAGTTGTGACAGAGCTGTATTGTAGTTGTGACAGAGCTGTATTGTAGTATGTGACAGAGCAGTAGGTTGTGACAGAGCTGTATTGTAGTTGTGACAGAGCAGTATTGTAGTTGTGACAGAGCTGTATTGTAGTTGTGACAGAGCTGTATTGTAGTTGTGACAGAGCAGTATTGTAGTTGTGACAGAGCTGTATTGTAGTTGTGACAGAGCTGTATTGTAGTTGTGACAGAGCTGTATTGTAGTTGTGACAGAGCTGTATTGTAGTTGTGACAGAGCTGTATTGTAGTTGTGACAGAGCTGTATTGTAGTTGTGACAGAGCTGTATTGTAGTTGTGACAGAGCTGTATTGTAGTTGTGACAGAGCTGTATTGTAGTTGTGACAGAGCTGTATTGTAGTTGTGACAGAGCTGTATTGTAGTTGTGACAGAGCTGTATTGTAGTTGTGACAGAGCAGTATTGTAGTTGTGACAGAGCTGTATTGTAGTTGTGACAGAGCTGTATTGTAGTTGTGACAGAGCTGTATTGTAGTTGTGACAGAGCTGTATTGTAGTTGTGACAGAGCTGTATTGTAGTTGTGACAGAGCTGTATTAGAGCTGTATTGTAGTTTTTTTACATGAAAATTCCATGACTTCAATAGAAAGTTTTCCATGACTTCACATATTATATTCAGCATTGTAACCCAATCTTTTCCCATTGAGCCTGGTGGGCAATTGATGAAAAAGGTGTTCAGTGTTCAGTTGTGTACATGCTACACATAGTGTTTATCATGCACGCTTTCATCAGTGACCTGTTATACCATGACACAGTGTATTGTTTCATGATTGTACCCTTCAGGTATACTTATTCTTGCTAGTATATATAGTCCATTAAGACAGTTTATGTATTAGGCATAACACTCTCTTGTTCAGGATAAACCTTTGGGCCTTTTGTTTTTCACCTGCTCAAAGTTTGATATTTTCAACCAAACCCTCAGAGTTGTGGTGTAACTACAACTTAAATACGACCTATGCACATACCTTAAGCTGGACAGGACTGCCATTAGTCTCATCATATAGTCCCTTTCAACCCATGGGATAAATCTTCAACAGTGACTTGTGGCTAAACACATTTACTGGTATGCTTAAAAAAAGACCCAAGGTATATTTCAGAACCATTTGTGAATTCAGAGAAGATAGTCTCTTTACATCATCACAAGTAAAACTTCACTCACATTTGATCATTATCATGTAGACATCAATTGTACAGATAGAGGGTTGTGGCAGTCGCTCTCCTTTCTCCAGTAGATCAGGCACATCACGGGCTCGGATACTGTCATATGGCTTCTGACCATACGTGAACAACTCCCACACTGTGACACCTACACAGAAACAGGCTTGTTACAAGACATCAGAGTGTGGATAGTAGATGTCTATCTGCTACTAAAATTTTGTAATGTTTCACTTACATGTTAGAATCAAGTTGAAAATATTGCTTAGCGAAGTTTCTGATATTTCTTGCGACTCACCATAGCTCCACACGTCACTCTTGTGTGTGAAGATCCGATGCTGGATGCACTCCAAGGCCAGCCACTTGATGGGCATCTGCACAAACACACGCACCTCAAATATCATGTGTCTCTCAACATTCTACTCATCTCTAGCCCAATGTGGAAATAATACTACAGTGCACTCTGTCAAACTCGGACTCTGTCTTTCTCAGATTGCTGTATAAACAGGACTGAACTCACGGTCCCGACGTAATCCTTCTTTGTTGCCATAATAAAAAAGTTCTGTATCTCGGACTCTCATTATTTCGGATTTCGGACCAAAGTGTCGGCCCGATAAGGTAGTTACATGTAAAAACATTGCTATATAATTCGGACTGAGCTGGAAGTCCGCTTGGCCAATAAACCTTGAATAAACATTCCGTTGATTGGTTTGTGTATTTTGTCTTATTTACTTAGCAGGAAGTCCGCTTGGCCCAGACCGCGTGGTCTAGCGGTGAATGCTTATTTACCTTTGATGCGACTAACACCAATTGTAAACTATAATTGAGCCGATCATGTCAACTCAGTGTCAATGTCACTATGCATTTAAGATGCCATCAGACACAGTGTGATATCAAACATCGTTACTTTGCTCTTTGACAATGTTACTGTGGACCCACTGCCGAAGCAGGTATCCGAGAATCGTTGTTTTCAATAACATTGCGAAAAATAGTTTATAATTTTAATTCTGCTGATAATATATGATAAATTGAAATTTAATAAGTGTTTTCAGACATTGTGAAATGTGATAGATTTAATATATGAATCATAAGTCAGGTAAGTTCCTAGAATTATGTCTCCATAAAAATCTGTGTACTTCGGACTACTGTATAATTCGGACTTTTTAGTCGGTCCCAAGCTGGTCCGAATTAGACAGAGTGCACTGTAAATGCTTACACTGGGAAGAAAGCAGAGAAAACAAACCCAAACCTAATTTTCCCACATAATTCTAAAGCAAACCTGATTGATGGGTGTCCCCAACCCAATTACTTCGTATGTACATGATATATACTGTCTGTCTGAGTATCCATAGTGCTGTCTTTGACTGCTGCACATTGATGACATCAAATGCAAAAAACTGGTGCTTAGTATGTACATGATATATACTGTCTGTCTGAGTATCCATATTGCTGTCTTTGACTGCTGCACATTGATGACATTAAACGCGAAAACTGGTGCTTAGAATATAAAAAATGAAGCGGATAACAGAAAATGTTCAGAGATGTTACAGAGATGTTGTTGTGAGTGTATGACTGCAGCAGCACCTAGCAGTCCCTAGCAGCAAGGCTGACAGTCCCTAGCAACAAGGCTGACAGTCCCTAGCAACAAGGCTGACCAGTCCCTAGCAACAAGGCTGACCAATCTCGAGCAACAAGGCTGACAGTCCCTAGCAACAAGGCTGACCTTTCCTCCTGCAGCATGGTACTCATCCTCATTGTAGTCTAGTAACTTGGCCAAACCAAAATCTGTTATCTTCACTTGGGTTGGAGTTTGCACTGAAAAAGTCACAGGTGAAGTGTAATGGTTTCACTTGGTTTTCAGAAGAAAAAGTTCTTTTTATATATATGCCCCCAATCCAGTGGCTGCATGAAGATATGGTGAAATCAGTTAGTTTTATCTTGCCTCACACATAAATGTCATTTTCTGATTGGCTGAACGCTCTTCTATTATTTTCAATGTACCCCGCTTACAAGCGAGTAACATTTTCCACGTACCCCGCTGGGAATGCCGAACTCATTTGGTACATTGTTGTAGTAATTCTTTATCTCGAACAACATTGAATCACGTATGATGTACGGAAATTAACGATATTTTGCAAATGCAAATCGATGGAAGGGAGATAACTCTAAATTTGTTTTTATTGTCGCCTGGTACTCCATACTATGATCCGATACTCGTGCTTCAAACAGTTCAAAATTACCACTGAGGTGTTCGGTAAGATAAATACGTTGTTCACTGGTTCCTCGGGGCCAATTGGGTTGATGTACCCTCAATGTTTCTTTATGTTTCCCTCGCCCTTCCGGCTCAGAGAACATAAAAAACATCGAGGGTACATCAGCCCATGTCCCCATTGAGACCAGTGAACAACTTATAATATCATCTTTGTGAAGAAAAAAAGGGAAAATGTTTCATGTGCATTTTTCTCGCATGCAGCAAGGGGTGAAGTCGACACAACACTGTGAGGGTCGGTCACTCACAGTCAGACTCACTCAGTGAGGGTGCACTGAATTTGTATATGTTTATATTGTTATTTATTGTGTTGTTTAACAAGATACAGGACAGAAATCTTTGTTGACCCATGAAGCAGTTCAGATTCTAATCACAGGGAAAATAGAACTTTCCTCAAACCCAGGCTTTCAAACTTCAGTATATGAGAAATGAAGTTGAAACATTATGCCACTTTAAAGAAATGGAGTTAAATATTTGTTAAAAGTGACAGTATGACATCGTGAAGATGTGTAACTCACCAAGGACATTCCTTGCTGCCAGATCCCTGTGGACAATGCCACGGTCTTCAAGGTATGTCATTCCCTGGAAAACAAACCTCAGAGTTTTCAGCTAACAATCGAGATAAACTGTACACGATACACACTTGAACGTAGCCAATAGACAGTCAGTTTATCAAAAACTGTTAATTACTTTGTCAAATGAATGTATAACTAGATACATCTTTACTGATATCACTGAGTAATGTGGCTGTTGATAGCATAAAGCACGTACCCTGGCAATCTGGGTGCACCAGTTGAGCAGCACCTTGGAGCCAATATGTTCCTTATTCTTCCTGACATAGTCCAGCAGACATCCCAGAGGCATCAGCTGGGTAATGAGCATCATCTGAGCTGTCATGCAAACTGCCAGAATACGCACACAACAAGGGTGTTCCACTGATGCCATTACCCGAGCCTCCTCCAAGAGTTCCTTGTTCTGGTTGGGTGTACCTTCCTGCAGTACCTTGATGGCAACTGGGATCTTCACGTTCTCCCCCTCAGGGATCCAGAAACCCTGCAACCCAGAGGAGAAGGAATCACAAACCCATGAATTAAAATCTTATGTACAAGCCATTTCAACAGGTACATACCACAACAAGCACAGTCCAACAACTATTATCCATTTTAGGTACATATATTCCTATTTTCAAGTTCCTAACATACCCAGTTGGTAAAGTCAGTGCATACCTTATATACTGTGCCAAAAGCTCCAGACCCAATGATGCCTCCACGTCTCAGTTCAGATTCTTTGATTAACCTCAGCTGTGCAAGGTCTGGCTTGGCATTTGTTGGAGTCAGGGGCTGAAATGTCAGTTATTTCATTAATGCATTACTTCTTTAAATCAAACTATTCAGTTTAAATGTCAGATGATAAAGTCAGCTAATACTAATGTGAACATTTCCCACCTCAGTCTCGTCAAAGCCGGTCATCTTGGCTGTGAGGGCAGCAGTCTTCTCCTTTGACTTGGCCCTCTGGTTCCAGTTGTATGCCACACACACCAGTATGATGCCCACCACCATCACACCACTGATTACAGCACCCGCAATTATACCAATCTTCTTCTTTTCTTCTCTGGAAGGACAGATAAATATATCCTTCAAGTCATTGTATCAGGTTATATGTCCACAGCAATAACTCTGAAGCTAAGTGAGTGCATTTATTTACAGCAGTTGTGCTATATGAACAGCCACAAAACCCAGTGCTGAAATACTGTAAGAATTTAAGAAAGTTAGTTCTATTACTGCTAAACCAGCAGAAAAGGTGTTGAATTACACACATAAACAGACCCAACTCAACCTTTTTGTGAATGTCCCAAGATTTACCATCAGAACTTTTATCATGAGACATTGTGATTCAACCCAAAATAGACTACTTGATAATGCTGTCTACATTTATTGGCACTCACTCATCTTTCTTGCGGAATTTAGCAATAACTTCAGGATGTTTGGCATCAGCGCATACTGTCCTGGAGGGGTCAATAGTCTGCTTGTCAGTGCTGTGATCCATCACAGTGTAAGGTAGCTCTGCAGGACATTCGTGTGTACAGTTGAACTGAAGCAAAAGACAAGAATTTAGATATAGCCTGGCTATTAGTATCTCCAGAAAGGAAGAAATTATTGACTCTAAAAGACACAGGTTGTTGCACTTCTATAGCTTCAAAATTAACATGGAGAAGAACATACCATAGATCCCTCTTCATCAATGTAGATCTTGAGGTTGTTGCATGCCTGGCAGTTACCACTGGAGGGGCCGTTGCATCCCCCACGGCACTCCTGGTGGCAGCTCTCACACTCTTTGGTCTGGTTGTCTGAGTAGGTGAAGGCTGGACAGTGCTCTACACACAGACCTTCGCTACGGAAGTAGGTGCAGTCTGTACAGTACTGCACCCCAGGTCCATCACAGGTCAGACAGCGCTGGTCACACACGCGACACAGCTGCAACACGGTTACAGTATTTAGTCACAAAGTTTGTACAAGACACCTGACTTGTAAGGACACAACAGAAAGATTTGAGGATATACCTAAATAATTGCTAGGGCTTTATCCCCACTTTATCAGCTGAATATAGAGACATGCCAAAGTTATGTATGTATGCTAAAACCCAGAGGCTAACAGACTTTACCAATAGACCTGATATTCAGTGCCAAAACACTTCAGTTGCAGTACATTAGACACCTTGAGACTTTCAAGGGTACCGAGGATTATTTCTTCTACTTCATCAAGCCATTTCACCTTTTTGCCTGCCAATGGTCCAGGAGCACTGCTCTTCTCAATACTCATATAATAGCCATGAGGACAGGAGATGGTGTCTTTAGGCAGGCAGTAGATGTCACTGCCATTCGCTATTCCAACAACACAGGTGTCACAGCCTCCAAAACCCACAGTCTGCATGTTCCCAGAACATCTGGAAGAGAGATCCAAAGTTACACAGCTAATGTACACTGACACGATACCCAAACACTGTACGGTATCTGAGAGCAAGATACAGTACTGTATCTCAGACCCCAACACGGTACTGTATCTCTTACCCCAACACGGTACTGTATCTCTGACCCCAACACAGTACTGTATCACTGACCCAACACGGTACTGTATCTCTGACCCCAACACGGTACTGTATCACTGACCCAAAAACTGTACGGTATCCGAGAGCAAGATACTGTACTGTATCTCTGACCCCAACAATGTACTGTTTCTCTGACCTCAACACTGTACTGTATCTCAGGCCCCAACACAGTACTGTATCACTGACCCCAACACAGTACTGTATCCGAGAGCAAGATACTGTACTGTATCTCTCACCCCAACACGGTACTGTATCTCTGACCCCAACACGGTACTGTATCTCTGACCTCAACACTGTACTGTATCTCAGACCCCAACACGGTACTGTATCTCAGACCCCAACACGGTACTGTATCTCTGACCTCAACACTGTACTGTATCTCTGACCCCAACACGGTACTGTATCACTGACCAAAACACTGTACGGTATCCGAGAGCAAGATACTGTACTGTATCTCTTACCCCAACACGGTACTGTATCTCTGACCTCAACACTGTACTGTATCTCTGACCCCAACACGGTACTGTATCTCTGACTCCAACACGGTACTGTATCTCTGACCCAAACACTGTACTGTATCTCTGACCCCAACACGGTACTGTATCTCTTACCCCAACAAGGTACTGTATCTCTGACCCCAACACGGTACTGTATCTCTGACCCCAACACGGTACTGTATCTCTGACCCCAACACGGTACTGTATCTCAGACCCCAACACGGTACTGTATCTCTGACCCCAACACTGTACTGTATCTCTTACCCCAACACAGTACTGTATCTCAGACCCCAACACGGTACTGTATCACTGACCCAAACACTGTACGTATCCGAGAGCAAGATACAGTACTGTATCTCAGACCCAACTACTGTACTGTATCTCAGACCCAAACACTGTACTGTATCTCTGACCCCAACACTGTACTGTATGTCAGACCCCAACACGGTACCGATCACTGACCCCAACACTGTACTGTATCTCTGACCCCAAACACTGTACTGTATCTCTGACCCCAACACGGTACTGATCACTGACACCAACACTGTACTGTATCTCTGACCCCAACACGGTACTGTATCTCAGACCCCAACACTGTACTGTACCACTGACCCCAACACGGTACTGTATCTCAGATCCCAACACTGTACGGTATCACTGACCAAAACACTGTACTGTATCTCTGACCCCAAACACTGTACTGTATCTCAGACCCCAACACGGTACTGATCACTGACCCCAACACGGTACTGTATCTCTGACCCCAACACAGTACTGTTTCTCAGACCCCAACACTGTACTGTACCACTGACCCCAACACGGTACTGTATCTCAGATCCCAACACTGTACGGTATCACTGACCCCAACAATGTACTGTATCTCTGACCCCAACACTGTACTGTATCACTGACCCAAACACTGTACCATATCACTGACCCAAACACTGTACTGGATCTCTGACCCCAACACAGTACTGTATCTCAGACCCAAACACTGTACTGTATCTCTGACCTCAACACTGTACTGTATCACTGACCCCAACATTGTACTGTATCTCTGACCCCAACACGGTACTGTATCTCTGACCCCAACACAGTACTGTATCACTGACCCAAACACTGTACGGTATCTCTGACCCCAACACGGTACTGTATCTCAGACCCCAACACGGTACTGTATCTCTTACCCAAAAACACGGTACTGTATCTCTGACCCCAACACTGTACTGTATCACTGACCCCAACACTGTACTGTATCACTGACCCCAACACGGTACTGTATCTCAGACCCCAACACAGTACTGTATCACTGACCCCAACACTGTACTGTATCACTGACCCAAACACTGTACTGTATCACTGACCCCAACACGGTACTGAATCTCAGACCCCAACACAGTACTGTATCACTGACCCCAACACTGTACTGTATCACTGACCCAAACACTGTACTGTATCACTGACCCCAACACGGTACTGTATCTCAGACCCCAACAATGTACTGTATCTCAGACCCCAACACTGTACTGTTTCACTGACCCCAACCGGTACTGTATCTCAGACCCCAACACAGTACTGTATCACTGAGCCAAACACTGTACGTATCCGAGAGCAAGATACAGTACTGTATCTCTGACCCCAACACGGTACTGTATCACTGACCCAAACACTGTACTGTATCTCTGACCCCAACATGGTACTGCCTCTCTGACCCCAACACGGTACTGTATCACTGACCCAAAAACTGTACGGTATCTCTGACCCCAACACGGGTACACTTTACTGCATCTCTGACCCCAACACGGTACTGTATCACTGACCCAAACACTGTACTGTATCTCTGACCCCAACACGGTACTGTATCTCTTACCCAAACACGGTACTGTATCTCTTACCCAAACACGGTACTGTATCTCAGACCCCAACACGATACTGTATCACTGACTCAAACACTGTACGTATCCGAGAGCAAGATACAGTACTGTATCTCTGACCCCAACACGGTACTGTATCTCTGACCCCAACACGGTACTGTATCTCTGACCCCAACACGATACTGTATCTCTGACCCCAACACTGTACGGATCCGAGAGCAAGATACAGTACTGTATCTCAGACCCCAACACTGTACAGTATCTCTGACCCCAACACTGTACTGTACCTCTGACCCCAACACTGTATTGTATCACTGACCCCAACACGGTACTGTATCTCAGACCCCAACACGGTACTGTATCACTGACCCCAACACGGTACTGTATCTCAGACCCCAACACGGTACTGTATCACTGACCCAAACACTTAACTCTATCACTGACACTGTATTTTAGCACTGACAATGCTAATTCTACTATTTCTGTAATAGGCCTGTACATCTATTTGTCTTCCTCCAAAACGGGGAACTTAAACATAAGTAAATTACAAAACAAATGATGACATGTTAACTTTGTATCCTTTGAAATGTATAAATGTTTGATGATGCAGTGATAACTAACCTTTGTTCACAGTGAGGATGACACCTCTGGCAGATATTGTTCTCCCCAGGGTACATGTTTGGAGGACATTCATCCAGACACACATTCTTCTTGGATGTAATATCTTTTATTTCAACATCGATGACAGTAAAGTTACGACAGCTAGAGCATTCCCAGTTGTCCTACACACAACAAACAAACATATAATATGCTATTTTCGAAATTTCTTTGTATACAGACTTGTTTATAGTTAAGCCCATCCTAAACTTTGCAATTGTGAAAAGGGGAAAATGAAAGCACATATAGACAATACGCTAATTTAAAAATATTAAACACATTAACCACAAAATCAACTTTGAAAATACATCTTTAGCATACTAGTGTGACATCCAGATAGAATGTTATAAGGAAGCCTGTATGTCAACTTACCGGACCAGTACAACTGCCTGCACACTGGTTGTTGCATGGGCGACAGATCCCAATCTTGGAACCATTAGCTGGAGGCTCTTCATAGAAGTTGTAGATGTCTGCACAGGAGGCAACACACAACTTCTTGTTGGCCAGCATCTTGTTGCGACAGGAGACACACTTGTTGGCACCAACACCCCAACAGCCATGGCTAGAACACTCCTTGCTGCACACCTGGCCATCTTTGGCTGTAGGAGACACAACATTTCACATAGCATAATACAAGACACTACCGAGAATAACAGCAAATACAATAACTAAAATTGAATGGTTCACTGTTTTGGTATTTTGTGATACCCAACATAATTTCCCATGTAGAGAGCATACAAATTAACATATTGCCTACATTTGTTGTTTTTCTTCAATCAGATAATCAGGCATTACAGCCCTTCTAGAAGTATGAAAGCTCTGACACCTTTCTGTTCGTATCAGATGGATGCTTAGTTAAGTTCTATGTGTATATTTCTTCTCAGGTGATAACTTACTGCAGTTGATCTGAAGTCTGTTGCTCTTGACTTCAGCCACTTGTTTAGGATTGTGAAGGATTCCAGTCCAGTTGACCGAGTCTGCCAGACACAAGTCCTTGTTAGCCATGATCCAGATGTCGCCATTCTTCACGGACCTCAGTGAGGACAACTCCAGAGTTTTAAGTGGTGTCATCAGGATGCTGAGACTCTGCTTGCTACTGCAAGTCACCAATACAGAGAGACATGGATAACTGGAGGAACGATATACATCACCCATATTCTCAGAGACTCTGCTTGCTACTGCAAGTCACCAACACAGAAAGACGAGGATCAACAGGAGGAACGATATACATCACCCATATTCTCAGAGACTCTGCTTGCTACTGCAAGTCACCAACACAGAAAGACAAACACCGCTCTACTGAAGGGCTGAGGTATAGTTCTTTTATTTTGTGTTTTCATGTTTTTTACGTTGACTTACAACATTTGGGTTTCAGGGGAACCCAATATATATTTTCTAGGGCCCTTACAGGAATATCCTATAGGTATTAAACTGATATAGATGACTGTACTGTAAAGTTTAACAATTCCCTTTGTGACAGAAGTGGCTTACTTTGTTTCCCTGCCATGAATGACCTCCAGACTTGAAAGGAAAGAGAGGTCAGTGAAGTTTTTGTGATCTGTTTGTATCACAACATAGCCTGTGATTTCACGCACACTTTTCAGGACTTTCAAATCCTCAGGGTCCATTGGGGGAATGTCTCGATGTTCATCTCTGCAACAAACAGATGGTAAAATAAATTCTGTTATAAGGGTAATGCTATTTTTGAGGGCATTATCATTTGCAGAAGCCCGAGGTCTTCCATTAACTGCCCGACGAAGGAGGGCAGTTGATAAAGACTTCGGGCTTCTGCAAATGATAATGCCCTCAAAAATAGCATTACCAAGTATTATTGCTAAACTACATGGAATTTGTGTTGAAAAGAAAAAGGAAACAATGAAGGAATTTGACTGTAAGTTTACCCAAATCAACTTCTGACGGGTTGACTGCCCGAATGCAATTACGTCATCGAACAATTCAAGTGACATCACAACAGAAAGTGACGATATTCGACCTTGGCCTTTGACAAGACCATAGCCTGCAACATGTCAAGCTATGACAGTGTTCGGTTTTGGTCCATCAACAGTCTTAATAGTGCAATTGTTAAGGTTAGCACCAGCAAGAAAGCCAATATTACCGCTATTTAAAGCGGGAATTTGGGTTGCTTTGACTTGTTTGACCCAGAATATCTGCCAGTCGAAAGCCACTAATGTTGAACTATGACGTCACTTGACAACAGAACTGATAGTGGCCCGTCGTTAAGGTTGAGCGGTCCAATATCATTTGCAGCGGACCGCAAATTTCTGATAACGAGAGGGCCGTTTCATGATAATTCCATGTATTTTAGCTATAATAGATATTATTCTCCTTGACTCGGGGACTTGATAACAAGTCAAGACATTATATTGAGTCTAACCACTAATACACAAAATAATTACATGGCAGAAGTATTTCAGGTACAATAAAGGAGAAATGATTTTGCCTTACCCATCAAAGCTGTTCTTAAGAATCCGCAGATTGCCCTCTATAGTTGTGCAGCCTGTATAGTTGTTGATGCTGTGTGCATGAAGCCAGTCATTGTCCTCCACACCACTACACACTGTTTTCAAGGACAAATATTCTGAAGTTAATGCGCTTTTACACCACATGCTTAATTATTACCTTGAACAAAGTTTCATTTATTGTATACAAGCAGGATATTTAACACTGATAACAAAGTCTTAAATGATGTGGTTAAGCTGTACTGAATACGTTTTAAGACAGCATGTTATTATCCAGTGCATACATCAAAAACACTCAACAGTTCATGACAATCATCTATAGTCTGACTTACTCTTTGGACAAGGGCCATTGCAGGGCACACATGAGTTTCCCTCCGCAGTGGAGCCATCTGGACAGGACCGGACACATGCTCCAGAATCTTCCAGCAAATGTTCTAGGAACAAATGAACCAAGTCGTACTTTTATCTAAGACGGAATACACAACATGTACACTGGCGGTTATACTACATACTGGCACATGGATCACTATCTAAGCAGCAGGCCACAATCTTGTAATGAGGTATAGAACCCATGTACCCACATCAATATCTGGACCCGTGACATATACATGACAATATATCCACTTATCCATGGTCATAGTTATGCAGCAAGTTACTAATGTTCACATTTCACTGACTGTGCCTGCTACGGCACGTTTCGTACAGACATTTTATATGTCTGTTTGCTGCTGATAGCTATACCGTACCTGACACACACAGACAGTTACACTAATGTGTAAACCATGGCTTTACTGTACCTGACACACACAGACAGCTACACTAATGTGTAAACTGTACCTGACACACACAGACAGTTACACTAATGTGTAAACCATGGCTATACTGTACCTGACACACACAGACAGCTACACTAATGTGTAAACTGTACCTGACACACACAGACAGCTACACTAATGTGTAAACTGTACCTGACACACACAGACAGCTACACTAATGTGTAAACCATGGCTATACTGTACCTGACACACACAGACAGCTACACTAATGTGTAAACCATGGCTTTACTGTACCTGACACACACAGACAGCTACACTAATGTGTAAACCATGGCTATACTGTACCTGACACACACAGACAGCTACACTAATGTGTAAACCATGGCTTTACTGTACCTGACACACACAGACAGCTACACTAATGTGTAAACTGTACCTGACACACACAGACAGTTACACTAATGTGTAAACCATGGCTTTACTGTACCTGACACACACAGACAGCTACACTAATGTGTAAACTGTACCTGACACACACAGACAGTTACACTAATGTGTAAACCATGGCTTTACTGTACCTGACACACACAGACAGCTACACTAATGTGTAAACTGTACCTGACACACACAGACAGTTACACTAATGTGTAAACCATGGCTATACTGTACCTGACACACACAGATAGCTACACTAATGTGTAAACTGTACCTGACACACACAGACAGCTACACTAATGTGTAAACCATGGCTATACTGTACCTGACACACACAGACAGCTACACTAATGTGTAAACTGTACCTGACACACACAGACAGCTACACTAATGTGTAAACCATGGCTATACTGTACCTGACACACACAGATAGCTACACTAATGTGTAAACCATGGCTATACTGTACCTGACACACACAGATAGCTACACTAATGTGTAAACTGTACCTGACACACACAGACAGCTACACTAATGTGTAAACCATGGCTATACTGTACCTGACACACACAGACAGCTACACTAATGTGTAAACCATGGCTATACTGTACCTGACACACACAGACAGCTACACTAATGTGTAAACCATGGCTATAATGTACCTGACACACACAGATAGCTACACTAATGCTACACTAACTAATGTGTAAACCATGGCTATACTGTACCTGACACACACAGACAGCTACACTAATGTGTAAACTGTACCTGACACACACAGACAGTTACACTAATGTGTAAACTGTACCTGACACACACAGACAGCTACACTAATGTGTACACTGTACCTGACACACACAGATAGCTACACTAATGTGTAAACTGTACCTGACACACACAGACAGCTACACTAATGTGTAAACCATGGCTATACTGTACCTGACACACACAGATAGCTACACTAATGTGTAAACCATGGCTTTACTGTACCTGACACACACAGACAGCTACACTAATGTGTAAACTGTACCTGACACACACAGACAGTTACACTAATGTGTAAACCATGGCTATACTGTACCTGACACACACAGATAGCTACACTAATGTGTAAACTGTACCTGACACACACAGACAGCTACACTAATGTGTAAACTGTACCTGACACACACAGACAGTTACACTAATGTGTAAACCATGGCTATACTGTACCTGACACACACAGATAGCTACACTAATGTGTAAACTGTACCTGACACACACAGACAGCTACACTAATGTGTAAACCATGGCTATACTGTACCTGACACACACAGATAGCTACACTAATGTGTAAACCATGGCTATACTGTACCTGACACACACAGATAGCTACACTAATGTGTAAACTGTACCTGACACACACAGACAGCTACACTAATGTGTAAACCATGGCTATACTGTACCTGACACACACAGATAGCTACACTAATGTGTAAACCATGGCTATACTGTACCTGACACACACAGATAGCTACACTAATGTGTAAACCATGGCTATACTGTACCTGACACACACAGACAGCTACACTAATGTGTAAACCATGGCTATACTGTACCTGACACACACAGACAGCTACACTAATGTGTAAACCATGGCTATACTGTACCCGACACACACAGACAGCTACACTAATGTGTAAACCATGGCTATACTGTACCTGACACACACAGACAGCTACACTAATGTGTAAACCATGGCTATACTGTACCTGACACACACAGACAGCTACACTAATGTGTAAACCATGGCTATACTGTACCTGACACACACAGACAGCTACACTAATGTGTAAACTGTACCTGACACACACAGACAGCTACACTAATGTGTAAACCATGGCTATACTGTACCTGACACACACAGACAGCTACACTAATGTGTAAACCATGGCTATACTTGTACCTGACACACACACAGCTAGACTAATGCTAAACCAATGCTATACTGTACCTGACACACACAGACAGCTACACTAATGTGTAAACCATGGCTATACTGTACCTGACACACACAGATAGCTACACTAATGTGTAAACCATGGCTATACTGTACCTGACACACACAGACAGCTACACTAATGTGTAAACCATGGCTATACTGTACCTGACACACAGACAGCTACACTAATGTGTAAACCATGGCTATACTGTACCCTGACACACACAGACAGCATAGCTACACTAATGTGTAAACTGTACCTGACACACACAGACAGCTACACTAATGTGTAAACCATGGCTATACTGTACCTGACACACACAGACAGCTACACTAATGTGTAAACCATGGCTATACTGTACCTGACACACACAGACAGCTACACTAATGTGTAAACCATGGCCTAATTGTACAGCTGACTACACACAGACAGCTATACTAATGTGTAAACCATGGCTATACTGTACCTGACACACACAGACAGCTACACTAATGTGTAAACCATGGCTATACTGTACCTGACACACACAGACAGCTACACTAATGTGTAAACCATGGCTATACTGTACCTGACACACACAGACAGCTACACTAATGTGTAAACCATGGCTTTACTGTACCCTGACACACACAGACAGCTACACTAATGTGTAAACCATGGCTATACTGTACCTGACACACACAGACAGCTACACTAATGTGTAAACCATGGCTATACTGTACCTGACACACACAGACAGCTACACTAATGTGTAAACCATGGCTATACTGTACCTGACACACACAGACAGCTAGCTACTAATGTGTAAACCATGGCTATACTGTACCTGACATGATAGCTACACTAATGTGTAAACTGTACCTGATGACACACACAGACAGCTACACTAATGTGTAAACTGTACCTGACACACACAGACAGCTACACTAATGTGTAAACCATGGCTATACTGTACCTGACACACACAGATAGCTACACTAATGTGTAAACCATGGCTATACTGTACCTGACACACACAGATAGCTACACTAATGTGTAAACTGTACCTGACACACACAGAAAGCTACACTAATGTGTAAACTGTACCTGACACACACAGACAGCTACACTAATGTGTAAACTGTACCTGACACACACAGATAGCTACACTAATGTGTAAACCATGGCTATACTGTACCTGACACACACAGACAGCTACACTAATGTGTAAACTGTACCTGACACACACAGATAGCTACACTAATGTGTAAACCATGGCTATACTGTACCTGACACACACAGACAGCTACACTAATGTGTAAACTGTACCTGACACACACAGACAGCTACACTAATGTGTAAACTGTACCTGACACACACAGACAGCTACACTAATGTGTAAACCATGGCTATACTGTACCTGACACACACAGACAGCTTACACTAATGTGTAAACTGTACCTGACACACACAGACAGCTACACTAATGTGTAAACTGTACCTGACACACACAGACAGCTACACTAATGTGTAAACTGTACCTGACACACACAGACAGCTACACTAATGTGTAAACTGTACCTGACACACACAGACAGCTACACTAATGTGTAAACTGTACCTGACACACACAGACAGCTACACTAATGTGTAAACTGTACCTGACACACACAGACAGCTACACTAATGTGTAAACCATGGCTATACTGTACCTGACACACACAGACAGCTACACTAATGTGTAAACTGTACCTGACACACACAGAAAGCTACACTAATGTGTAAACCATGGCTATACTGTACCTGACACACACAGACAGCTACACTAATGTGTAAACTGTACCTGACACACACAGACAGCTACACTAATGTGTAAACCATGGCTATACTGTACCTGGACACTTGCTGACACACAAAGATCCATAGGTAAATCTGGCGTTGGGGTTCTTGACCAGCTTGAACAGATTGGGGTCATAGATGCGTTGTGGAGGGCAGTAAGGTTCACAGGCCCCGTCATTGTTAAAGTTGCGACAAGCCTGAATACAGTCACTCTTGTTAACAACATTGACATGTACAGAAAGATGAAGTCTTTATTACTGAGTGACTGCGAATGAGAGGCAATGTTTACTACAAAGTTGAATAATATGATGAAAATAGGATTAGATGCCTAAACAATAGCTGCAATCAAATACAGGTGGTATCATCTTGACACATGATGGCAATAATGATGTTGCTACAACGGCAGGCAGTCGGACCATCAGACTAACCAACTGCTACATCATATGACAGAGAAATCGTAATCTTCAAATACATATAACATCAAATGTTAGCAAAGTTAGCATGTGTGAAAATAAGGCCCCTGTTTTGAATAAAAGATAATAGGGCTGTGCAATATTACCAGTAAACCGGTATATACCGGTACAGTATCTCGTGATACAATTATCGCAACATGGTTCAGATTCTGCAATATATTGGGTCATCCAGAGTTAGCCCCCTTTGAATTATATGCCCTTGACTTCCATGGCAACAATATGTGCTCTAAAAGTGCCAAATATACTTGTTTCTGCTGGTTTCATGTAACATTTTACAAGCAGAAGTATCTTTATAAGTGGCTCCAAAAGAGCCGAATATTCTACCAAGTTTTGTGGGGTTTAACGGTTTCATATGTGATATGTTGGAGCAATTAAGTGGCCTCAAATGGGCCAATGTTTTATTTGGACTTATTAGTAGAACCTCTGGCTCTGAGTGACCATTTCACAGTTCATATTATTTTTGTTTGTTTCATAATGCGACATATGTTATCAATTTATCATAAGGACCTAAGTCTTATATATTTTGTAGGACTGTATAATGACATTCTAGTCAAGGATCTTAGTCATTGGAGGTCACATGAGTTTTTAAGCTCAAGTAGTTCACCGAAATCATGTTTTTTGTTTCATTTTGCAATAGTCCATGTTAACACATGTTTATATTCGGAGTTGAATTTGAATGAATCACTGACATACAGAAACAACAATTACATACTGCATTGAAGAGCATTCCGTTGAAGCAAACAACACTGACCATGAAAATCAAGTCATACTGTTACCGTTATCATTACGTTCTCAAACCTTTGTTGCAATACTTCAATTAAACATTCCACATTAAGGCTCTATATTATGTTATTTATCTGTAAACCATTGGCATACAGCCATACACAATGGGGACGGGGAGCCTGAAAGTATGGTGTAACAGCAACTAATATGATGATGTTGCACTCACAGAGCTATTATAAATTTAATATGTACGCACTTGGGCAGAATCCTTCCAGTCAATATATCACAATATGTATAGCAATATCTCTTAAGTTATTGCAATATATCACAATATGAAAATCAGGACAATATCCAGCCCTAAAAGATAATTGACTAAACACAATATCAAAGAATTTGTTCAAGTTTCTCCCACCAGGCAGTCTGTTTTCTTGGGTCCTGTACATGCCCCTGCACACTCCTTGTGACAGCACTGATTTTGTAGCTTCCCGAAACATCGGCCTTCACAGGATCCATGGCACTCCTCACCTGATGTCACTGCAAGCAGATCCATCACAGAGTTACCTCCCTTCCATCAACATGCCAGCCATAGTAATGAGCGAGTGACTTCAAGTAGTGAAAATGATTCTAAATATGCCAGTGTTTACACTGATAAGAAATCATATACTTACTGTATTATGAAATGAATAATGTAATATGACACATAAAAGAATACCAGGTGTGACTTCACTGTCATCTCTTATTTCCTGCTAATTACATTTATGCATTATTTCACAAAATCAAATAGTATGAATTTACACAAAGCTTAAAACTCTTTTGCGACTTTTAAGTCAATGGTAGAGACATAATACTTACGTTGTTGGCACATGTTTTTTCTAGAACCCCAGCAATGGCGCTGTCCAGTTGACGGCTGGTAGCAGGATTCATCACATTCGTTGCCTGCAAGATAATAACACCCTCACATCATCACCTGATACAAGGACCTACAGGGAGTAGATGTGTTGCATTATTACACCCTCACATCATCACCTGATACAAGGACCTACAGGGAGTGGATATGCTACATTATTACATCCTCATATCATCACCTGACACAAGGACCTACAGGGAGTGGATATGCTACATTATTACACCCCCATATCATCACCTGACACAAGGACCTACATGGAGTGGATATGCTACATTATTACACCCTCATATCATCACCTGACACAAGGACCTACATGGAGTGGATATGCTACATTATTACACCCTCATATCATCACCTGTCACAAGGACCTACAGGGAGTGGACATGTCACACTATTACACAGTCACGTCATCACCTGATAAGAGGACCTACAGGGAGTGGATATGCTACATTATTACACAGTCACATCATCACCTGATACAAGGACCTACATGGAGTGGATATGTCACACTATTACACAGTCACATCATCACCTGATACAAGGACCTACAGGGAGTGGATATGTCACACTATTACACAGTCACGTCATCACCTGATACAAGGACCTACAGGGAGTGGATATGCTACATTATTACACAGTCACATCATCACCTGATACAAGGACCTACATGGAGTGGATATGTCACACTATTACACAGTCACATCATCACCTGATACAAGGACCTACAGGGAGTGGATATGTCACACTATTACACAGTCACGTCATCACCTGATACAAGGACCTACAGGGAGCGGATATGTCACACTATTACACAGTCACGCCATCACCTGATACAAGGACCTACAGGAGCTGGATATGTCACACTATTACACAGTCACGCCATCACCTGATACAAGGACCTACAGGGAGCGGATATGTCACACTATTACACAGTCACGTCATCACCTGATACAAGGACCTACAGGGAGTGGATATGCTACATTATTACACAGTCACATCATCACCTGATACAAGGACCTACAGGGAGTGGATATGTCACACTATTACACAGTCACATCATCACCTGATACAAGGACCTACAGGGAGTGGATATGTCACACTCTTACACAGTCACATCATCACCTGATACAAGGACCTACAGGGAGTGGATATGTCACACTATTACACAGTCACGCCATCACCTGATACAAGGACCTACAGGGAGCGGATATATGTCACACTATTACACAGTCACGTCATCACCTGATACAAGGACCTACAGGGAGTGGATATGTCACACTATTACACAGTCACGTCATCACCTGATACAAGGACCTACAGGGAGTGGATATGTCACACTATTACACAGTCACGTCATCACCTGATACAAGGACCTACAGGGAGTGGATATGCTACATTATTACACAGTCACATCATCACCTGATACAAGGATCTACAGGGAGCTGATATGTCACATTATTACACAGTCACGTCATCACCTGATACAAGGACCTACAGGGAGTGGAATTGACATATTACTACCGTGTCCACATTTATGTTATCGTATGCCTTTTTTGAAAATTCCTTAGAGTCAGTTCAAATAAATTAATAACATCATTACTAGCCTAGCTTTGGTTAAAGCTGGCACCCTTAACCTAAATCACTGAATCACTGGGAATGTCTCTCAGAAGTATAATATCACAGAAAGAGATTTGACAAATAAGTTATTGAATTGTACACAGCATGCTTTTACAACATTGTGCACATCAAAATGTTTAAGCAGATGTATTATGACACACAAAGTATCCGTAAGTTACTGATAGCTCACCTACAGCTTGGGGATAATAACCATAACTTGTGGCCATAGTCCATTAAAATCATAGCTAACACATTCTTTATACCTACAATGTTGAACATCGTGATGTTTTCATGTTGCTAAAGCCTCCATGTCAAGCGAGTCGAACATTCAGTGCTGAACAGTCAGTGCGAGATACTGTAGCTGTCATGTCCCGCTGTTCCTTCAACACACAGTCACCAAGAGCCCCACTAGGCATACAACGCCATGTTTACTATCGTCTTGTATGTTAAGCGAGGAAGTCGGGTTATTTCTTGTTCAATATTCCAGATCATCAGGGCTGCAAGTCATTATCTTCTTAACACTCTTATCCTCTCAACATTAGATTTCTAAACCAGATATTAAGTCCGCATGCTTTTTTCCTTAGAAAATCTCTGAACATCATTAATAAGGGCCCTGAGCAATAACGAGAGTTGGAAACAAACCAGCATGTCTTGAAATTTTGCAATTATCTTTATACATGATAAAACTTTTTTCACTTTCCCCAAGCAAAAAAAATTGATAACACATTTTTTTTGGTTAAATTGTTGGACACCAAGAAATGACAAAGCTAGAACCGTGAACATGTGTCATGCTAATGCATTTGACAAAGATAAATAATATTCTACTCCTATCTGTACATTTAAGGATAGGTGAGACAGGACAGGAGGGATGGCTGGACAATACTGGAGGGATGGGTGAGACAGTACTGGAGGGATGGCTGGACAATATTGGCGGGATGGGTGAGACAGTACTGGAGGGATGGGTGAGACAGTACAGGAGGGATGGGTGAGACAGGACAGGAGGGATGGGTGAGACAGGACTGGAGGGATGGGTGGACAGTACTGGAGGGATGGGTGAGACAGTACTGGAGGGATGGGTGGACAATACTGGCGGGATGGGTGAGACAGTGTTGGAGGGATGGGTGAGACAGGACAGGAGGGATGGGTGAGACAGGACAGGAGGGATGGGTGGACAATACTGGAGGGATGGGTGAGACAGTACTGGAGGGATGGGTGAGACAGGACAGGAGGGATGGGTGAGACAGTACTGGAGGGATGGGTGAGACAGGACAGAAGGGATGGGTGAGACAGTACTGGAGGGATGTGTGGACAGTACTGGAGGGATGGGTGAGACAGGAGAGCAGGGATAGGTGAGACAGGACAGGAGGGATGGGTGAGACAGGACAGGAGGGATGGGTGAGACAGGACAGGAGGGATGGGTGAGACAGGACAGGGGGGATGGGTGAGACAATACAGGAGGGATGGGTGAGACAATACTGGATCGATGGGTGAGACAGGACTGGAGGGATGGGTGAGACAGGACAGGAGGGATAGGTGAGACAGGACAGGAGGGATTGGTGAGACAATACTGGAGGGATGAGTGGACAGTACTGGATCGATGGGTGAGACAGGACTGGACGGATAGGTGAGACAGGACAGGAGGGATGGGTGAGACAGGACAGGAGGGATGGGTGGACAGTACTGGAGGGATGGGTGAGACAGTACTGGAGGGATGGGTGAGACAGTACTGGAGGGATTGGTGGACAGTACTGGAGGGATGGGTGGACAGTACTGGAGGAATTGGTGAGACTACTCGAGGGATGGGTGAGACAGTACTGGAGGGATGGGTGGACAGTACTGGAGGGATGGGTGAGACAGTACTGGAGGGATGGGTGGACAGTACTGGAGGGATGGGTGAGACAGTACTGGAGGGATGGGTGGACAGTACTGGGAATGAAAGTCATAAGGAGTGGAAAAATACAACTTTTTGTGTTGTTCTGTATGTTCAGCACAACCATGTGTGAAAGGTCAGTGCGGCTTAGGTTTGCTGTAGCAGTGAAACCTGTAATATTAGAGCAGCCCTAGGAAGACACTAGGTCGGACACACTTTAATGAAATGGGTTTACCCACACTTAGCAATATTACAGAGATGGATCAACTGGTTAGATAAGCCACAGATCATCTGTGTGGACACATTTAACATCAAGGCTAGTTACGCCACAGATCATCTGTGTGGACACATGTAAGACCAAGGCTAGATATGCCACAGATCTACAGTGTCATGGACACATTTAAGATCAAGGCTAGATATGCCACAGATCTACAGTGTCATGGACACATTTAATATCAAAGCTAGATATGCCACTGATCATCTGTGTGATGGACACATTTAAGATCAAGGCTAGATAAGCCACAGATCATCTGTGTGATGGACACATTTAATATCAAGGCTAGACATGCCACAGATCTACAGTGTCATGGACACATTTAAGATCAAGGCTAGATATGCCACAGATCTACAGTGTCATGGACACATTTAAGATCAAGGCTAGATATGCCACAGATCTACAGTGTCATGGACACATTTAAGATCAAGGCTAGATATGCCACAGATCTACAGTGTCATGGACACATTTAAGATCAAGGCTAGATAAGCCACAGATCATCTGTGTGATGGACACATTTAATATCAAGGCTAGACATGTCATGGATCTACAGTGTCATGATCACAGGCTAGATATATGGACACATTTAAGATCAAGGCTAGATATGCCACAGATCTACAGTGTCATGGACACATTTAAGATCAAGGCTAGATATGCCACAGATCTACAGTGTCATGGACACATTTAAGATCAAGGCTAGATATGCCACAGATCTACAGTGTCATGGACACATTTAAGATCAAGGCTAGATATGCCACAGATCTACTGTGTGATGGTTACATTTAAGATCAAGGCTAGATATGCCACAGATCAAGGCTAGATATGCCACAGATCTACGGTGTGATGGACACAGTTAAGATCAAGGCTAGATATGCCACAGATCTACAGTGTGATGGACACATTTAATATCAAGGCTAGATATGCCACAGATCATCTGTGTGGACACATTTAACATCAAGGCTAGTTACGCCACAGATCATCTGTGTGGACACATTTAAGACCAAGGCTAGATATGCCACAGATCATCTGTGTGATGGACACATTTAATATCAAGGCTAGATATGCCACAGATCTACAGTGTGATGGACACATTTAAGATCAAGGCTAGATATGCCACTGATCATCTGTGTGATGGACACATTTAAGATCAAGGCTAGATATGCCACAGATCATCTGTGTGGACACATTTAATATGAAGGTGAGCGGCAACCGATCAACTGACTGACTGACCCTGTTCCCTGACTTTCACGAAGACCAAAAGGATCGTT